ATTTGTCGCTCTTTTAATAATTAAGTCGTGAGGGCGAGTGAAATCGGTGAGGAGGAGGAGGATGTGGCTTGCTCACTTTTGAATAACTGTAGCACGGGGGTTGTTGTCATTTTCGGCAATACCATAAAATCCGATGGTGATGATGAAAATGGAATGCATGGTTCTTTTGGAATGAAGGGTGCGGACTAGCGAGGGTGATTGGAGCTAGTTCTGACAGTTCTCTTCTTAAGGCGGTGTTCTTTGTAAAAGGAAATTTTAGAGTAGAGGAGAAGGTTAATTTGGTCATTGTATCGATGGTTATGCGCAATGGGAGGTTCGTGCGCTTGCCTCACTGACTCTCTGGATACTCGTAAGCAGCCAGTCTTGACCTTGTGCTGTGTTCCTCAGTTGATGTAGTTTCGGATGTACTGTCTTGCTTTTGAATTACAACTGTTTAATAAACTGCAAACGAATACTTAATGCATATTAACTAAAATGGCAAGAAGGGTCTGTTTCCAACATCTATAATACTATTACTGCTTAACCACTTTAACAATAATTTTCAAAGCACAGTAACCACTTTTAATTTCCTCTCTTTAATCTCTAATTTGGTTAAACTACTTCCCTTGTAACATCGGGTTTAAAACACACTTTCTGTGAGCCATTGTGCATTGACGATCATTGACAATTTTGCATCGGAACAGCTACACTCCTTACGGCATAATCAGTGATCAACAAAGCTTCGCTTATCGTGAGCGGTTGTTTGTCGCTAAAAGATGCGATGGAGACCTCAAGTGGATTTGGTCATGTCAGTAAACTACAGCAGTGTTTCGATTTTCTTTTTTCTTTAGAATGCAGACCTGCATCCTCTCCATACTGTTTTAGCTTGTCAAGTTCCCATATGTGCCGGTGGGGAATTGCACAATAGTCTTCCCGATGTAAGAAATGGGGATCACTTTGGAAATTAAATCAAACCAAACCATTTGCTGACATGTTCGATTTTACTCGTCTGCCTTCACTCTAATTACCAGAGTCGCTGTTTTAGACCTCTATCAGGGGAATAATTGGTCTTCAGGCAAAAGAGGTTTAGAGTACTTTTGTCTAAGACGATTGTTAGAAAGTGGGGCTGTAGCATACTTCGTTAATGCTTCAAACTTCTACGTTCAAGTGGTTGACCAGCTTCTTTCACTCATCAAACTAAAGGAACTGGGGCCTGTTAGATTAACACATGTCCCCTGCATATCCTCACTTTTGGGTCTTGTGGCAGTACAATTCAATCCACACTACTACGGTCCGAATGCTTTAATGTTTCAAGATGACACCGACACCTACACTGCTCCGCTGATCATTTCAACACTAAACGAAAGTAATTTCATTTAC